GCGCATCTGACGCGGGGGTAAGCGTTTTTGGGTTAAGGCACACTTCGGATCTTAGACGCCTCTTCCATACCCTTGCGTAGTAGACAGCGCCCCCTTTTCGGCTTGAAAGTGCGCGACAAAGGCGCAAGAAGCTCGTCCGACCCGCAACTCACACCTTCGTCCGCAAGCCCCACCCTCCGCTGTCGGTTGCCACGTGGCGCTGCTTGAAAAGCGCGGGCGCATTTGAGGCAGCGGTCCCATTGCGACCCAATGTCATTGGCACTGGAGCAACTAGAGTAGGTTCGTGAAACTCGTCCAACGCGCGTCTTCCCTACCCGGTCGACGGACTACTTGAACTCAGCCCTTTAAACCGCCTCTGCGCTCTCTCGCGGGTCCCTCTCCTCTCCAAGGCTTAGTCCTAGGGCATTCACCCGTTCTCTAATCGTCTGTGCTCTAGCCATCGCGGCAGGACCATTGAGGAAAAATCAAGTAGTCCGTAAACCCAGTATCGAGGTATGGAGCTATAGGCATATAGTGCCAAATATTTGATCAAACAGCAACTAGGCCTTCGTGTGAAATCATATTTAATGGTCCAGTTTCAAGGTATGGAGCTATAGGCATATAGTGCCAAATATTTGATCAAACAGCAACTAGGCCTTCGTGTAAAATCATATTTAACAGTACGCTTCAGTTTGGGCGCATTCATAGTCGGACGTCGGATCGTAACGATCGCACAGCATTGGGTGCGTATCGATCATCAGACGTGTCCTAGGATTGAACGATCGATACGAATTCAACGCTGTGCGACCGCCACGATCAGACGGCTGAGTATAAATGCACCCTTCGAATACAAGTCACTGCATGGCGTATTATGAGAGGATGACCGACGCAAGTACGCATAACTTACCCGTGCTGTTTCCCACAACTCAGGATTTTGAAGGAAGCAGCTCCAGCAGCTTGCCTTAGTCAAGACAGATTCGCCTGCCTTCTTGGATCGGCCATCCCCATTTTCACACATTTTGCATCTGCTTTTCGAAATCGGATTTTCATGGGGAATAGTACCGCATAGGACCTGCGTAGGAAATAATTGTGATTTCGAAATCCAAGACATCCCTAACCAAGCGAACTTATTGAATTATGTTTCTTCCTACAATCAGTATACTGAATAATGAGTCTGAAACATGGGAGCATGCCCTGGCACTAGTTTGTGACTCTATTCTTGTGCCGTGCAGTACATTGCAAATACCTGTTTCCCCTTATTTTTCAAGCACAGTTTCTACATTTTGCCTTTGAAATCACACTACGAGGAATATATCGTATGAATTCTTTCACCTCTTCTGTACACCTATTGGTGGAAGGTTCGTTCGGACTGTTTAAAACTTCCTCAACAAAGTGGCGTACATCTGTGCGGGCCATGTACTCCCAGATCTATATCCTCTTACAGCCATGTTATTAGTCCTCTGACTTGTTTCACACATCGTGAAAGTTGGAAGGAGGAAAGATGTGGAGTGATTCTCCAACTATTCCACTGAAAAAGCGTCGAAATCGTTGCTTGAGGAACTCAATTGCAACAATGCACTCATATGAGAATACAAAAGTCTAGTGCCGCATTTGAATACAAACATTTAATAAACTTATTTAGAACGTTTAGTAGCGAAAAAAAAACCGTAAAAGACAGTTGCATAGAAATCACCATATCACATACAAAAAATATAAAAAAAAGAAAAAAATTAATGTGGAACTATGCGTTAATACTACCAATTGAAATGTTCCCATAATGCCTTTTGCCACAATTGCAAACACTCTATTAATCACTCACGAACCTTAAATAAATATTATAGTGCATCTATTCAATAAGTTATGCGCTTCAACGAAAACTGTTGCTGTTGTGGGCTTTACAGCTTAATCCATTCTCGAATTGCTTCCAAACCGACAGCGGCGCCATCGACAGCACAACATTCCACGAATTCCACGGGCCTGTAATTTTTGTTTGATAAGGTTCAGAAGGCCAATAGAGAGCAAAATCAACCAAAGATAAGGAAAAGCAAGAGCAGCAACGATGCCCGGTTGATCAAGTTGATGTGGTAATTCCGTTCGAATGTAAAATTAGGGAAACAAGAGGAAAAACCTTCAAACTCCCAAATGGGAGGTTGAGGAATAGTCAACTATGGAGAAGCCTATGAAACAGATAGCTAGCTAAAAGATTGCGAACGCCGAGAGAGGTCTCCTGGGAGAAGAGAACACAAGAGGAGAGATTAACTATACGACATAAATGAGG